TTGGGCTACGTTGACGGTGTCAAGGGGTATCGCCTGTGGGATCCCACTTCCCATAAGGTTATTGTCAGCAGAGATGTAATCTTTGCAGAGGATGAAATGCAAAGGGAGCAGGAAAATGATAACACTTCTAAAGATAACACTATTGTTCATATAGATGGAAAGTCTGTTGAAAATGACTCTTTTGAAGCAGAACCAGAGCACGAGATACAAGAACTAGATGAACCTGATGGTGTTGAAGTTCGACGATTAACACATCAGAAAAGGAAACCAAATTGGCAATCAGACTATGTTATGGCAAGCCATGATGCATATTGTCTTCTAACCGAAGATGGAGAACCATCAACCTTTCAAGAGGCTGTGAGTTGCTCAAATGATTCTTTGTGGATGGCAGCAATGCAAGAAGAAATGGAAGCCTTACATAGAAATAAGACATGGGATCTTGTTGTACTTCCTGAAGGTCGGAAAGCCATCGGCAACAAATGGGTCTATAAGATTAAGTGTGATGGTAATGATCAAGTGGAAAGATATCGTGCAAGATTAGTGGTTAAAGGGTATGCTCAAAAGGAAGGAATTGATTTCAATGAAATATTTTCTCCGGTGGTTAGACTTACCACTATTAGGGTAGTGTTAGCTATGTGTGCTGTTTATGATTTACATCTTGAACAATTGGATGTAAAGACTGCTTTTCTTCATGGAGAACTTGAAGAAGAAATATATATGCTCCAACCAGAAGGTTTTGAAGAAAAAGGAAAAGAAAACTTGGTTTGCAGGTTGACCAAATCTCTGTACGGTTTAAAGCAGGCGCCGAGGTGTTGGTACAAGAGATTTGATTCTTTCATTATTAGCCTTGGATACAACAGGTTGAGCTCAGATCATTGTACATATTACAAGAGGTTTGAGAAAAATGCTTTCATCATTTTGTTGTTGTATGTGGATGACATGTTGGTGGTAGGCCCCAACAAAGATCAAGTCCAAGAATTGAAGGCACAATTGGCTAGGGAGTTTGATATGAAGGATTTGGGACCAGCAAACAAGATTTTAGGGATGCAAATTCACCGAGATAGAAAAGATAGGAAGATTTGGCTTTCTCAAAGAAATTATCTACGAAAAGTTTTGCGGCGCTTCAACATGCAAGACTGTAAGTCAATATCTACCCCACTTCCTATCAATTATAAATTATCCTCAAGTATGAATCCTAGCAATGAAGCGGAGAGGATGGAAATGTCTCGAGTACCCTATGCATCAGCGGTGGGAAGCCTTATGTATGCCATGATATGTACAAGGCCAGACATTGCACATGCAGTGGGAGCGGTCAGTCGGTTTATGGCAGATCCTGGTAAAGAGCATTGGAATATTGTGAAGAGGATTCTGAGATACATTAAAGGAACCTCAGATGTTGCGTTATGTTTTGGAGGATTGGAGTTTGGTGTCAGAGGATATGTTGATTCAGATTATGCAGGTGATCTTGACAAAAGAAAATCTACTACAGGCTATGTGTTTACAATTGCAGGAGGAGCAGTAAGCTGGTTATCCAAATTGCAGACTGTTGTAGCTCTATCTACTACAGAAGCTGAGTATATGGCAGCTACCCAAGCATGCAAGGAAGCTATATGGATTCAAAGGTTATTGGAAGAGCTCGGATACAAACAACCAAAAATTATTGTGTATTGTGACAATCAAAGTGCCTTGCACATTGCAAGAAATCCAGTTTTTCATTCCAAGACAAAGCACATAGGAGTTCAATACCATTTCGTCTGCGAAGTAGTAGAGGAAGGGAGTGTGGACATGCAAAAGATTCACACAAAAGACAACCTAGCAGATGTTATGACAAAGCCGATCAACACTGACAAGTTTTATTGGTGCAATTCTTCTTATGGCCTATCTAAAACGTAGCAACATGAAATTAACAAGGGATGTAAATTTTTTGAAAGCAAACAAAATTACTTTAAGTGGGAGATTGTGAGGACATAAAGTAATCTTTATTTTGTAGAAGAATTCAATGCATTATAAGTCATTGGTTTCTATGATGTAGAGAAGATTACGTAGAATCCAATAATAAGTATCTACTTATAATAGTATATGAAACTATTATATATAGAGTAATCATATTGTAATTCAGAATCATCCTAATCATCCTAATCATCCAAGAGTTTGCTACAATTGTGTTTCTTCTTATTCCTACACTCAACTCTCAAATTTTACTTGTGCTATTGTTATTATTATTTCATATTATTCTGATACCCAACAGACCATACAACGTTGTTCGATCTCATCATGGTTAGTTATTATCTTGACTAATTTTAGATCTAATAGTTGTTTTATCGATTTCGTGTTGTATGTGTGTTTCATGATTTGGGGGTTTAAATTATGGTTTCTTTGACTTTTTTTTTGTTTTTATTCTTTGTTTTCTTTGTTTGTGATTAATTATTGTACTCTTTGATGAAGTTGGCGAGTTGTTTGAACTGTTTAGAGTTGTAATTTTCCCCCAATTAACTCATGAATAATCTTTGTGGTGAAACGATTCTATTTTGTACAAAGAAGTAGCTTAAGGGGTGTAATCTTTGCGGTAATCTATATTGATGTCTATAAATTTGTGTTGTCGCAGGTGTTGATGCGAGAAACTCGAAGGTTGCGGTGTTGAAACTACTTCAGTTTGTGTTGTCGTAAGTGTTGATACATTTTGTTCCAAATCCGCAAGTTGTGGCGATGCTACTTTTGCATTGTACGTCAAGCTTCAATGGTTGGTGATGTGGAATTGACGCGTCGGGTTTTGGGTTTCTTTTTGCGGTCCAATCTGAACCTTCTTCCGCAGCTGAATATTTTGAACTTTCGTATACCAACGATGACCAAAAATAGATGTGAATTGCTATGCTAAAGTCGGTATATATTTATGCCTAATTGTTAATACTGTCATATTCTCTATACCTTTGGTTTCTCATTTTATCTTGTGTTTTCAGAGTGGTAGAAACACTGAAGGATTATACTATCAAAGCTCTTGTAAATACAGTGGACCATTTAGGTTATGTGACCTATAAAGTGAATGACTTGTTGGATGAGAAGGTTGTTGAATTTTTTGGAGCCGAGCTACATGTATCTTGTATTGAACAGGTATTATCGATCACCTCCAAATAAAGAAACTTCAGTTAATCGAAGTTGAAAGTGATTTGTAAGATGAATAATTGATTTGCCACTATCATCGTATATTGAAATCATCAATATGACTTTTAGGCAATATATTTCATGATATAGGAATAAATATTGTTGTTGTTGAGGAGTCGAGAACTTATATCGTTCAAACTAATTATTACCTTAGGGAAGATCAATATTATGAATTTATCTAACATTGATTTTTTCTTTATGTGGTATATTTAGAGAATAAGGACATACCAAGGGTGTATGGATCACAAACTATTGTGTAATACCCTTGTGATCCATACAAGGGTATTATTCTCAAAATATCACTAGCGATATATCTTACCAGACGCGTATAACATTTTTCTCAAGTCTATTACTATTGGAATTGTGTATATGTTGTTAAATGATTACATTCCTTGCATAATTTCAGTTGGGGAGACCATGATTGGTGCCAACGTTACCAAGTCAAAATATGTTGGATACAACCTTGAGGATGAAGAAGAGTGGCCTCACCTTAGGAATGATATCTATTTTTACCGTCAATGTTTTGATTTCACTTATCTAAGAGACTACTATAGAAAGTCTTATGTTGTATTTATTCTGTTTGTCTTCCAAAGTTGTTCGAGTTATAATAGAGAAACTCGAACATATATAACGATAAGGTAACTACAAATATTGCATGAAACTATGGCATTATGTTGGTCAAGGACTCAATAAGGATCTGGAGTTGATGGTTATTTTGATTTGATGCAGTAAAGGGCGTTCACCATCACCTTCGGTACAAAAAATGATTTTATGATTGTTTTTGAATTTATAAAGTCATGATAAGCTGAATTTAATACAAGTTGTTGAAGAAAAAGATATAGATCTATTTATGGTTGTGGTTTTGATTTCAGTTTCTTCGTCGTTAACATCGTGCAATTCCAACCCAGTTCTGCCTTTGTTTAACGCTATGCGGTGTTGTAATATATTTTCAACACAAGTATTTATATTGTCGTTTTCCTCAGGGATTGATGTGATATTAATGGCGTTCTATAGTTTTAGTCACTTTAAGTGTTTGAATCATAAACAAAGTTTTGGTATTTGTTTTTAGTAACAAAAGATTAAGTTTCACGCACTAGATGGTGATTTGGATAAAAGAGAGATTTTTGTTTGAAAAGGCTTATTTTGATAAAAGGCATGTCAATATTAGTTTTCACCAACCTATTCCAAATATATTCGATTAATCACGCATATGAACTTATGATCGATACATTCACGTATCATCTCAACATTTCTCATGTCTAAGCAATATTGTGAGTATTTATCATGTTAATCATTAGATGATCTGTCAACCTAACTATTAACATGATAATCTTTAAAGCTTGATACAAGTGAATACTAACTCACAAATCTATGTCTAGAGCTTGTTTATTAGTAGATGAATATCTTAGGTCAAACTTGGAAATTACTTCTCGATAATGATCAAATCCATAAAAAGAACAACGATAACAAAGATATTCAACATGTATTAATCTTCAACCAAGTTCATATACAAAATAATTAAAAAAAATACATAAAGTCTAGGTTAACTACTTCTAACCTTGACACAAAAGATACTTAGCTACTCATGGTCATGATCCCTTGATCAATAAATAAACAATGAATGTTGATGAACATCAATCTTCAAGTCTCCTTGATTCAAGATGCCAGAATATTTTTCTCTTCCAAAAATAAGAACAAGGGTTTCTATGTTATAATGTGTAGAACAAGGGTTTTTATTCCCTTAATCAGGTTTTTCTTCCCTCCAAGTATAAAAGTTGGTGAAAAATTCCCCCAAAATGTGGCAAAAGTAGTCAAAAAATATGACCATCTGCACACCATCGTCAGGCGACCATAAAGCATCGTCGGGTGACGCTAGCTAGATGCCACACGTGACCAGTTAGACGTGATACACAAGTTAGACGTGATACACAAGCAGGAAAGTATCTATCATCGTTGGGCGACAAGGATGCTTCACCGGGCGATCCTTCTTTCGCCAGGCGATCCATGGGCGAAGCATTATAGAAGCGAATAAAAAAAATCCACCCTTTCTTCACAATTTTCATCGGGCGATCCATCCTGTCGTCGGGCGATCCTTTGCAAAAACAAAACATTTGTTTCCTTATGTGTTGGTGTTTCATGAGTTAGGGGTTTAAATTAGGGTTTCTTTGACAGTTTTTTTGTTTATTCTTTGTTTTCTTTGTTCGTGATTAATTATTGCGCTTTATGATGAAATTGGTGAGTTGTTTGAACCGTTTAGAGTTGTAATTTCCCCCAATTAATTCATGAACAATCTTTGCGGTGAAACAATTCTATTTTGTACAAAGAATTAGCTTATGGGGTGTAATCTTTGCGGTAATCTATATTGATGTCTACAAAGTTCTGTTGTTGCAGGTGTTGATGCGAGAAACTCGAAGGTTGCAGTGTTGAAACTACTTCAGTTTGTGTTGCCGTAAGTGTTGATACATTTCGTTCCAAATCTGTAGGTTATGGCGATGTTACTGTTGCACCGTACGTCAAGCTTCAATGGTTGGTGATGTAGAATTGACGCTTCGGTTTTGAGTTTCTTTTTACGGTCCAATCTGAACCTTCTTCCGCAGCTGAATATTTTGAACTTTCGTATACCAGCGATGACCAAAAATAGATGTGAGTTGATTTGCTAAAGTCGGTATATATTTATGCCTAATTGTTAATACTGTCATATTCTCTATACCTTTGGTTTCTCATTCTATCTTGTGTTTTCAGTGTGGTAGCAATACTGAAGGATTATACTGTCAAAGCTCTTGTAAATACAGTGGACTATTTAGGTTATGTGACCTATAAAGTGAATGACTTGTTGGATGAGAAGGTTGTTGAAGTTTTTGGAGCCGAGCTACATGTATCTTGTATTGAACAGGTATTATCGATCACCTCCAAATAAAGAAACTTCAGTTAATCGACGTTGAAAGTGATTTCTAAGATGAATAATTGATTTTCCACTATCATCGTATATTGAAATCATCAATATGACTTTTAGGCAATATATTTCACGAGATATGAATAAATATTGTTGTTGCTTTGAAGAGTCGAGAACTTATATCGTTCAAACTAATTATTACCTTAGGGAAGATCAATCTTATGAATTGCTTTTTTCTTTATGTGGTACGTTTAGAGAATAAGGACATACCAAGGGTGTATGGATCACAAGGGTATTACCCAACAGTCGTTGGTGATCAGTACTCCAAAATATCACAAGCGATATATCTTGCCAGACGCGTATAGCATTTTTCTCAAATCTATTGCTATTAGAATTGTGTATATGTTGTTAAATAATCACATTCCTTGCATAATTTCAGTTGGGGAGGCCATGATTGGTGCCAATCTTACCAAGTCAAAATATGTTGGATACAACCTTAAGGACGAAGAAGAGTGGCCTCTCCTTAGGAATGGTGTCTATTTTTACCGTCAATGTTTTGATTTCACTTATCTAAGAGACTACTATAAAAAGTCTTATATTGTATTTATTCTGATTGTATTCCAAAGTTGTCCGGGCTACAATAGAGAAACGCCAACATCTACAACGACAAGGTAACTACAAATATTGCATGTAACTATGGCATTAAGTTGTTCAATGACTCAATGAGAATCTGGAGTTGATGGTTATTTTGATTTTATGCAGTAAAGGGCGTTCATCATCATCTTCGATACAAAAACTGATTTTATGATTGTTTTTGAATTTATAAAGTCATGATAAGCTGAATTTAATATAAGTTGTTGAAGAAAAAGATATAAATTTGTTTATGATTGTGGTTTCGATTTTAGTTTTTCCACCATTAACATCGGGAAATTCCAACTCAATTCTGCCTCCGTTTAACGTTATGCAACCGCAAGGTAACCATTCACTCTGCAAGGACTTTTCACGGACTTTTGGTGTTCTGTAAAATTGTTAAACTGATACAAATATCTCTTGTTTTTTAGGAGCAATTAATGTTTACATTTTTTATTAATGGTTTTGTTTCAAATTTTCAGAACCGAGTCACCACTGAGTTATCATCATTAATTTACATTGCATATGTTTCCTGATATGAAAATAATTTGATGCTTAGATAGTTGTAAAAGAATATTGTATCTTTTCATGCATTGGGACAAATTATCATTCGAATATTTTCTTTTAGGAATGTATTGTTTGGGCTTGTTCTGCTGCCCAGATGTATGTATGTTCTTTTTTGAACATTTATGGCTTGGAATGATATTTGGATAATGATCATAGGCATGATGAATTGTTAGGGCTGCAGTATATGCACAAGTGAGGATGTATTTAGTATGGTCTATTTTCCTGCATAATTGAAACACTTGTATTTATTTTGATTCAAATTTTTGTGTGTGAATATACCACTGGTTTTGAATGCATCACATGAAGTTGTTTTGGATGGAGTGTTCTTGATGCAGCTAGCTCATTTTTATTGATTTTGTTGAAAATGAAATGGTATAATGATGAATGCATTGGTTTGATTTTGTTTTCGAATGTATACTTTTCATGTGGTTGTTTCTTGTGTCGGATTGCTCGCTATTTTAAAGGTCTGTTGTTTATCACTTCAAAGTATAATTTGAATTGTTTAACTTCAAAGTATAACTTCAACTGTACATATTTTTCTGTGAATTTTGTCACTGAAATTTACTATTTTCACGGGTCACTGCCATCACAATACCTTTTTAATCTTTAACTCAATAAAAGATGCTAGAGATTTAAGTTTTAAGTTTTTACCAACTCTGTATTTGAGACATGGTTGTGTTGTATTTTTTCAGTGTTCTTTCTGTTCATTTGCATTCTTATTAGAAACTTTTGTATCATTTGCAAACGTAAATTACACTACATGTTAGTTGTTGAAAATGGATTATAAACATTGGCATTGTTGTTTCATTTATGAGATAATTAGTTCTATACAACTGAAAACTTGATTTTTAGTGATTCTTTTCCTGTAATTTTGCTATAGCCTTCTACTACAAATTTATTTGATACACTCCTTGTAACATACTTATGGGTTTCTATCAAAAATATTATGGATGACAACATAATGTTCCTGCTACTTTCACTTATAGGAATATTATAGGTTTCACTGCTACTTCACTTAAGTCATCATCAAACTCACTGCCACTGATAAAATGTCTGTTATAAATTTCAATATTCCTGCTAAACCAAACTATATGCAACTGCAATTTAGATTTCTAAAGTATGATACAAGAACTGATGACACAACTCAATTCTACATGTTGTTTGAAATTAAGTTGTCACTTAAAATTTTAGTGATTTTCATTAGTGAAAAATCGACATATATGTTTTGCTTTTGAAGATGGCATAAAGTATGATTTATGATACAAATCATGCAATATGGTACAATATATAGTAACTTAAGTGTCATCATGTTGTTTTCACTAAGTCTTTCACTTAACTCACCATCAAATTTATTGCCACTTATACAATGTATATTATAAATACATTAAAATTAACTATTGCGATGTAAATACATTGAATTAATTCTAGGAAGTAGATTGGAAGAAAAGAAAACAATCATGTATTTTTATTTGTTATTTGTGTATCAAAGATTGTTGGTATATTACTATTTTTTCTTGTGACTTTCATATTAAATTCTAAATAAATTGAAGATTACAATTGACTCTTCATTTTGATTTTATTATAGGTGACTTATTCCACCTTACGTAAGCGGATCTTTGAAAGTCTGACCCAATTTCACTGTCTGGTCAATGCAAATTCCATGGAACATGCTTTCAGATTTTATGTTTTGATTTAATGTTACTTATGACATTGATTACATGTTATTGTTGAATAAACTTTAAATGTCATTAGTAATAAGTTTCATATTAAATATGATAGTAGGAAGATTAAGAGTCAATGTAATTTGGAAGGACAAAAGTTGGTAAGTTATGATAGTTTTATTAGTAGCAGTTATCTTTTGAGAATTGTAAAAGTCATTAGGTCTATGTAAGGACCAATCGTGTATTTTATTCAATAAGAGCAATACAAAAAAGTTTGTCTCCTTTAGAAAAAGTAATCACATAACGAAGTCTGATTATTTATAACAATTTGGCATCAGAGCTCATGGCAAACATGATGAATCAAATGTCGTTGCCACGGCTAACGAAGTCAAACTATGAAAACTGGAGTATCCAAATGAAAGCTCTTCTTGGATCTCTAGACGCGTGGGATGTGACCCATGATGGGTTTGAAGAACCAACAGAAGTTGGGGGATATACGGCAGCTCAAACGAAGGCGTTGAAAGAGACGCGGTTGAAGGAAAAAACGATATTATACATGTTGTTCAGGACTGTAGATGAATCAGGCTTCGAAAAAATTGATGGTTCGACTACGTCGAAACAAGCGTGGGACACGTTAGAAAGAGTGTTCAAAGGAGCAGATCGAGTGAAGCAAGTTCGACTCCAAACTCTTCGTGACGAATTGGAGAGGATACAGAAATTGTATCTGACTACATCACACGTGTGCAAAAGATGGTGAATCAACTCACCAGAAATGGAGAGACAGTAACTGATGCACGAGTTGTTGAAAAGATCTTGAGATCTTTAACAGACAAGTTTGAGAATATTGTGTGTGCAATAGAAGAGTCGAAGGATCTTTCGACGCTCTCAGTCGAAGAGCTCGCTGGTTCTCTCGAAGCACATGAACAACGAAAGATGAAAAAGAAAGAAGAAGCAGTCGAAGAAGCAAATCAAACCAAGGAATCGAATAAAGACGAAAAGGTACTCTTTTCTCACAACTTTCGAGGAAGAGGACGTGGACGTGGAGGTCGTGACAGTGGTCGAAGTGGTAAAGGTAGCAACTTCGAAAGAGGACAATCGAGCCAACAAAATTGGCGTGGTAGAGGACGTGGTCAAAGAGGTGGTCGTTTGAATCATTCTAACTTCGAATGCTATAAGTGTGGGAATTATGGTCATTACGCGAAGGATTGCAACTCCTACAAATGTTACAACTGTGACAAAGTGAGACATCTTGTAAAAGACTATCGAATCGAAAAAAAGATTGAAGAAATAACCAACCTAGTCTTGGAAGCTGAATCGAATGAAGGCTTTCTCCTGATGGCTCAAAACGAAATCAACACCAATAATGACAATGTTTGGTATCTTGACT